ACAACATAACTGCATGGATAGTTTACCAAGTCCAGCTCAAGTGTCACGAAAGGGCTACGGTCACAGCTATTCTTTGCCTCCTTAATGTGCTGGCATTCAAAAGTATCCGCGAGACCACTATTGACGTGAACAGGTTGTGCAACTTTACACCTCTCCAAGCTATACAGCCACAAGTCCCCACCACAGCAACAGTCACTTTGCTCAGAACTGCATTAAGAGTACACGGACTGACTGATTTCTATAACTGCAGGGTTACTTTGCTTTGTGTTCTTCTTCATTCCCATGGGGGAGCCACCCAAGTGAAAGCCACAGCTTGAGCAATCTGGGGGTTTTGATCGATTGAGGTACTCTTGTTTGCACTTGGGACACGTGCTACAGCCTCCGCTGCTCATTGTGGGTGCAAAAATCTACCAAAACAACAAGTCACAAATCAGACAAAAACAGCAAATTAAACACCGACAATGTTCACGATCGAAATAGCTACAACAACATAAATGAAACGATGGCAACACTAAATGAGAGTTGCACAGACAGTTACACAATATACCTGAGTGTACACAAATCCACCAACCAAGCTAAACACCGCCAATCGATTTTGAGATGCAAATTTCCCTCCATGTGTAAGCCTAGCTGATTTTGAAACACAAACTTCCCTCCTATATAAGACCTTCAAAAAGAATCTTTGAAAAATGGAACTACGGTATTTAAGAAAATAGTTGTTTTTTTAATTTTATATTTCATGAAACTGAACGGAAAATCTCGATGAAATAATGTACGGAGCTCAAAAATTATAATTGATATTCCGTCCTAACTTGAAACAGAGGTCTTTCTGTTATTCTTTTGTAAGTCTCTGATCTGTCTTGTAAATAATTTTCCGTTTCACGTGGAAGCTTGTTGTTTTTGTCAAGGGAAATATCCACCAAAAGGATACACGTTTTTGGTAATTGGTCCACACCTCCCCATTCTATATCCAAGGTGTCCATTCTTTGCACCACGACTGTTTCCAGTATTCGATCTCAAAGTTGGTCTCCATAACATATTTTAGCTTTCCTATTACTGGAAACCTTTTGTACTTTTGAAGGTAAACTGCTAAGTGTAGTATGGCAGTACGACTATCAAAATAATCCCTGATCTTCTAACAATAATTTGCAGATTCCTTACTATATGCAAACACTATATGCAACGTAATCATATCAGGAGTCCACTTATTTCTTCCAGCATGGAAGTGCAGCTCAGTTAACCTAGACACAAGGCATACAATTTCATATTCCAGGGGATTGGTAACTTGACTTTCCATGATACATTCTGCCATTGGAAAAGAGAACTTCTGGTAGCTTTCAGCGTACCATTATCTAATACCCTTGCTATGTTTTCCAAGTTATCTGGGAGCCTGCCATCCTTGAATTCACCAGTCCAAAATTGAGATTCCTCTTGGGTAGTTTTCTTGAAACCCTTCAATAAACCCATTGCAGAGATCTTTCATTAAAGTTTCCAAGAAAGGATCTAGTGACTGGTGTAGATTTGGAACTTCAAAGCAAGGCACAAATCCTACAAGATATACTTGGTTTACATGATTTCTATGAGTCTTCCTCATATTGGCAACTGTAACTTCAAAAGATCCTGATCCTCTATAACTTGTGCCAAATGGCTTCCAGCCAGAACCTTTAGCCATCGTAATACAATGTTCAAAGTTTTCAAAGCAGACAAGACATTCAACAATTTTCAATGCCCCTTGTCTATCACACAATCTGGCGAGTTTATCAAGTGGTCTGCAGATATAGTAATGTTACAGTGTACACATCGAGTTGGCAAAGCCCAAACACTTTCTGGGTCCCAAAACCACCATGCCATATTTCTTTCTTTAAATGCCAACTTTCCATATTCTCCAGCCAGTGTTCTTTTTCTAAACAGTGTCCAAGCATATTTGTACACATAGTTTTATTGTAAACCAGTTCCTCAGTTTATTCTCCAGACCTAAGTACATGTATTTTATGCAACATTTGTTACCACAGTGAAGACACCTGTCATCTTTGTTCTCCATGACACTGTATTTTTTATCGTAGGCAAACTTTTTGGTAGTCTTTCCATCCCTTGTGACTTCGTTTTCCTGACGACAGAAGCAAATAATGTACTGTTTGGCATCTTCATGACGCTCTTCTTTCAAAAGCAACTGCACACCATTCCAACTCTTCAGCCGGAACGTAGTTAAAACGTCACGATCCACATCATCACCTAGAGATGTAAGTAACAATGTCTTTCCATACTCCAAGACATCTTCAAATGTACTCACTGACACCCCACTTTTATGCTTTATTCTCTGTGAATGACTGAAGTAAATGACTGGGGGCATTGGCTGGCACTCAAGGCCATCCATGTGAGAGTACATAACAATGCTCAAATACTATGGTAAAAAGAGTAAATACGAATTTCTGAAATCACCGCCACATCTGAGTCACATCACATGTCATGAGTACTAAGTGATGCGCAGTGCAAAAATAAAGCTTTTTTTATGCAGGTGTCCTGCTGACAATTGATAAACAACCTGATAGTTTCTACACATGCATAACGATACGTCAAAGAGGTTAAGCTTATTTTTATATGGTATAAAAAAAGATTTCTCTCGCAGGTCTGGAGGTGCTACAGTAAAAATTATCTCATGACAAACGTAAGTGTGGGCAGGAGCTATTTTTCTTGTAAATTACAGCTTCAGCTCTGAACAAAGTGTATCACACTTGATTTTTTTCCCGCTTGTTTATCTACTCTACATCTGATCACACTCTTCTGAAAAAAAAACAACAACAAAACGCAGCTGGATGCTAATCACCTTGTCACTGTTTGACTATGATAAACATTTCCACGCATTGAGGAATTGTTGATGGAACCAGGACAAGAGAGCTGTCTGGTCACTGGCTCCACACCTGGTTTGCACTGTGAACAAATACAACAACGTCAACAGAAATAAGCATACAGGGGCCTGTGCATATCCTGTAATTGCTGATATTAGTTAGCACTACATTTGTATTTTTTTATTGTCACTCATGAGAACCCTTTCGATAATTTATGGACACCAAGCAGAATATAACTGATGAATACATGTACAGGGTGCAAAGAAATTCAGTGTTAAAGCCTGCCACTTAAGCAAGCTGCAACTAACATAAACTTGCCCAAGAGTCGTTTTGTTTATACCAAGAATAGTTTTTGATCAGCAGGATGAATTAGAGTTTTTGTGAAATGTGGACTGCCTAACAAACAGAATTCAATAGCCAGACAGATTAACGTATTTCTTAGTAAGGACCCCAAGAGGTTTTACCTACCTGTCAACCCTTCTTCCAACTGGCTGTCTGCGAGCCATGCCAGCCAAACAAGAAATCTCCCAGATTTTCTTCTCGTCATTTCTTTGTCTAATAAACTGAAGAACCACAGTATTGTCACTCAAAACAGAGTGTGAGCTGCATGTTATAATTGTCAAACATGACTTAGCCTGTTAAACGTTGAAATTTGATTTATTGACAGAAGTTATGGTGAAGGCATTTTCCACAGCACGTTTTGCTTGCTATGTAAGAATGAGTTTTAGATACTGCTGTAATAGGAAATGAATTGCTTAATTGCAATTAATATGCTAGTTTTCAAAGTGAAAATTAAAGACACAATTAACAATCCTGATCTGAAGTGGTGGCTTAATTACCTTCCAGACAAAATTTCAAAAAAATTGTTATTGGGCACCAACTGTCACCTACCTGCACATTTGTTCCTTACTGGAAAGGCAGTCAACCGTCATAGTTTTGAGGGCAAAACAATCATTTCTCGATTGCTTTGAATATAATGATATTTATTTGGAACAAATTAAAGTACTCACTAAAAGAGAAAATTGATCTTATCCCCTAGATTGGACTCATTCCAGGTGGAGAGAAGGCACACAACCCCCTCTTGTCTGGCTTGCCACAACGTGTGTTTAAAAATGAATGGACGTGATTAATTACCATCATGCATGCAAGTATTTTCCAGATTTGGAAATATTGTTGTAGTCAACTAAAAAGTTACTTCAAAAGCTTTTGAATTCCCATACAACGTATCTGATTAAGTGGTATTTCGATGGCAAAACTGCATACCCAGTGAACTACACAGACAGTTACACAATATACCTGAGTGTACACAAATCCACCAACCAAGCTAAACACCGCCAATCGATTTTGAGATGCAAATTTCCCTCCATGTGTAAGCCTAGCTGATTTTGAAACACAAACTTCCCTCCTATATAAGACCTTCAAAAAGAATCTTTGAAAAATGGAACTACGGTATTTAAGAAAATAGTTGTTTTTTTAATTTTATATTTCATGAAACTGAACGGAAAATCTCGATGAAATAATGTACGGAGCTCAAAAATTATAATTGATATTCCGTCCTAACTTGAAACAGAGGTCTTTCTGTTATTCTTTTGTAAGTCTCTGATCTGTCTTGTAAATAATTTTCCGTTTCACGTGGAAGCTTGTTGTTTTTGTCAAGGGAAATATCCACCAAAAGGATACACGTTTTTGGTAATTGGTCCACACCTCCCCATTCTATATCCAAGGTGTCCATTCTTTGCACCACGACTGTTTCCAGTATTCGATCTCAAAGTTGGTCTCCATGACATATTTTAGCTTTCCTATTACTGGAAACCTTTTGTACTTTTGAAGGTAAACTGCTAAGTGTAGTATGGCAGTACGACTATCAAAATAATCCCTGATCTTCTAACAATAATTTGCAGATTCCTTACTATATGCAAACACTATATGCAACGTAATCATATCAGGAGTCCACTTATTTCTTCCAGCATGGAAGTGCAGCTCAGTTAACCTGGACACAAGGCATACAATTTCATATTCCAGGGGATTGGTAACTTGACTTTCCATGATACATTCTGCCATTGGAAAAGAGAACTTCTGGTAGCTTTCAGCGTACCATTATCTAATACCCTTGCTATGTTTTCCAAGTTATCTGGGAGCCTGCCATCCTTGAATTCACCAGTCCAAAATTGAGATTCCTCTTGGGTAGTTTTCTTGAAACCCTTCAATAAACCCATTGCAGAGATCTTTCATTAAAGTTTCCAAGAAAGGATCTAGTGACTGGTGTAGATTTGGAACTTCAAAGCAAGGCACAAATCCTACAAGATATACTTGGTCTACATGATTTCTATGAGTCTTCCTCATATTGGCAACTGTAACTTCAAAAGATCCTGATCCTCTATAACTTGTGCCAAATGGCTTCCAGCCAGAACCTTTAGCCATCGTAATACAATGTTCAAAGTTTTCAAAGCAGACAAGACATTCAACAATTTTCAATGCCCCTTGTCTATCACACAATCTGGCGAGTTTATCAAGTGGTCTGCAGATATAGTAATGTTACAGTGTACACATCGAGTTGGCAAAGCCCAAACACTTTCTGGGTCCCAAAACCACCATGCCATATTTCTTTCTTTAAATGCCAACTTTCCATATTCTCCAGCCAGTGTTCTTTTTCTAAACAGTGTCCAAGCATATTTGTACACATAGTTTTATTGTAAACCAGTTCCTCAGTGTATTCTCCAGACCTAAGTACATGTATTTTATGCAACATTTGTTACCACAGTGAAGACACCTGTCATCTTTGTTCTCCATGACACTGTATTTTTTATCGTAGGCAAACTTTTTGGTAGTCTTTCCATCCCTTGTGACTTCGTTTTCCTGATGACAGAAGCAAATAATGTACTGTTTGGCATCTTCATGACGCTCTTCTTTCAAAAGCAACTGCACACCATTCCAACTCTTCAGCCGGAACGTAGTTAAAACGTCACGATCCACATCGTCACCTAGAGATGTAAGTAACAATGTCTTTCCATACTCCAAGACATCTTCAAATGTAGTCACTGACACCCCACTTTTATGCTTTATTCTCTGTGAATGACTGAAGTAAATGACTGGGGGCATTGGCTGGCACTCAAGGCCATTCATGTGAGAGTACATAACAATGCTCAAATACTATGGTAAAAGAGTAAATACGAATTTCCGAAATCACCGCCACATCTGAGTCACATCACATGTCATGAGTACTAAGTGATGCGCAGTGCAAAAATAAAGCTTTTTGTTATGCAGGTGTCCTGCTGACAATTGATAAACAAGCTGATAGTTTCTACACATGCATAACAATACGTCAAAGAGGTTAAGCTTATTTTTATATGGTATAAAAAAAAGATTTCTCTCGCAGGTCTGGAGGTGCTACAGTAAAAATTATCTCATGACAAACGTAAGTGTGGGCAGGAGCTATTTTTCTTGTAAATTACAGCTTCAGCTCTGAACAAAGTGTATCACACTTGATTTTTTTCCCGCTTGTTTATCTACTCTACATCTGATCACACTCTTCCGAAAAAAAAAAACAACAACAAAACGCAGCTGGATGCTAATCACCTTTTCACTGTTTGACTATGATAAACATTTCCACGCATTGAGGAATTGTTGATGGAACCAGGACAAGAGAGCTGTCTGGTCACTGGCTCCACACCTGGTTTGCACTGTGAACAAATACAACAACGTCAACAGAAATAAGCAAACAGGGGCCTGTGCATATCCTGTAATTGCTGACATTAGTTAGCACTACATTTGTATTTTTTCATTGTCACTCATGAGAACCCTTTCGATAATTTATGGACACCAAGCAGAATATAACTGATGAATACATGTACAGGGTGCAAAGAAAGTCAGTGTTAAAGCCTGCCACTTAAGCAAGCTGCAACTAACATAAACTTGCCCAAGAGTCGTTTTGTTTATACCAAGAATAGTTTTTGATCAGCAGGATGAATTAGAGTTTTTGTGAAATGTGGACTGCCTAACAAACAGAATTCAATAGCCAGACAGATTAACGTATTTCTTAGTAAGGACCCCAAGAGGTTTTACCTACCTGTCAACCCTTCTTCCAACTGGCTGTCTGCGAGCCATGCCAGCCAAACAAGAAATCTCCCAGATTTTCTTCTCGTCATTTCTTTGTCTAATAAACTGAAGAACCACAGTATTGTCACTCAAAACAGAGTGTGAGCTGCATGTTATAATTGTCAAACATGACTTAGCCTGTTAAACGTTGAAATTTGATTTATTGACAGAAGTTATGGTGAAGGCATTTTCCACAGCACGTTTTGCTTGCTATGTAAGAATGAGTTTTAGATACTGCTGTAATAGGAAATGAATTGCTTAATTGCAATTAATATGCTAGTTTTCAAAGTGAAAATTAAAGACACAATTAACAATCCTGATCTGAAGTGGTGGCTTAATTACCTTCCAGACAAAATTTCAAAAAAATTGTTATTGGGCACCAACTGTCACCTACCTGCACATTTGTTCCTTACTGGAAAGGCAGTCAACCGTCATAGTTTTGAGGGCAAAACAATCATTTCTCGATTGCTTTGAATATAATGATATTTATTTGGAACAAATTAAAGTACTCACTAAAAGAGAAAATTGATCTTATCCCCTAGATTGGACTCATTCCAGGTGGAGAGAAGGCACACAACCCCCTCTTGTCTGGCTTGCCACAACGTGTGTTTAAAAAGGAATGGACGTGATTAATTACCATCATGCATGCAAGTATTTTCCAGATTTGGAAATATTGTTGTAGTCAACTAAAAAGTTACTTCAAAAGCTTTTGAATTCCCATACAACGTATCTGATTAAGTGGTATTTCGATGGCAAAACTGCATACCCAGTGAACTTTGTTAGCAAACATAAATAGAATATAAGTGCAATTATTGACTAGATGTATATTTAACAATTAATGAATGAGGCTGAGTATCGTATGAAGAATTATGGAGATCGAGGAGGGTGTTATCGGCTAAGGCGGATAACACCCTCCAAGATCTCCACAATTCTTCATATGATACGAAAGCCGAAGTCAATAATTGTATCATTATTCATTCAAAATAATTATATAGGCATATATTATATAGACAGTATATAATATTTAGTAAATAAAAACCCTTCCGTTGGCTGGTATATTGGAGGATAATGCCTGCAGCTGAGAGATTGTCGTGACAGCCAGCCAAGGGCACTGTCATCGGATATACCAGGAAGCAAAACTGTGATTGGACGAGGGCTTGACAGGCTGTCATGTCAAATGAATTCTTCCAACGCCCCATAGATCACAACTACAAAGCAGCACTTTTAGTTTATATTTTACCGACAGCACTGTTTGAAAATTTCTAAAAAAATAGTTTGTAATGGAAAAGTAAAGAGAATCCAACCATATCACTTGCTGCAATGGTGGATGCTGAGGAAGTCATACAAAGAAAAGGTAGAAGAAATAATAATGAGACATTTATAACGCGCCCTTTCCCATGGTCCAAAGGTGCTATTTACAAGGTTAAAAAATTTAGAACTACTGTAAAAGTTTAAAAACCAAAATAAAAAACTACAAAAAGTAAAGATAAAACAGTTTGATACAAAAGCACCACATTCGAGTTGTCAATTTAAAAGAGCGTGTCTAAAAAGAGCAGTTTTGAACTGTCTTTTAAAAATGTCCAATGATCCAGTATCCCTTATATTCTAAGGAAGACTGTTAAAAAAAAAAACGGCGCTGCAACAGAAAAAGAACAACAGCCACAACTAAGATCCCGTGCTGGGTGGTAACTTTGAAGAAGATTTTTAATATACGGAAGAGGAAGTCCACAGAGGGTCTTGTAATGAACAGTAAGTATTTTAAATTCAATCCGAAGATCAATTGGGAGCCAGTGGAGATTCGTAAGAACAGGTGCAATGACAGAACTTGGGTGAAAGGGTAACAACATGAGCAGCCGCATTCTGCAAATGTTGGAGCTGTTTAATCACGTTCTTAGGTAAACCATATAGTAATGCATTACAATAGTCAAGCTTTGATGTAACAAGAGTTTGAACAAGAAGCTGGGCTGCATAAAAGGTGAGATGTTTATGAATGAGCCCAATTTTACAGAGATGATAGAATCCTGATTTGCACATTGCTGTCACCTGAAGAACTATACTCAAAGATTTGTCGAAGGAACTCCAATGTTACCCGCTCTTGGTGAAGCCAGCACTCTCTCATCACAAACATGAATATGTGACAAAGGAGGTGGAGCACGATGTAAAGATGATATCACAAGAAGTTCAGTTTTGTCTTTATTTAATTTTAGCTTATTCTGAAGCATCCAGGTGTCAATTTCTCGTACACATGCTTCTAACCTACACTTGCACAATTCCATATCATTAATTGAAGCCGTGCCATACTCCCTAAACATTCTTAAAGTTGCAGGGTCATAAGAAGTTGTACAAAAAATCACTTGGCTGCCGATAGATTGACTAAAGGGTAAAGGATGATTAGACGTACTGGCTTGGCTGCTGAGAGATTGACTGAAGGCTGCAGGATGATTGGACGTACTGGGTTGGCTGCTGATCGATTGACTGAAGGCTACAGGATGATTGGACATACTGGGTTGGCTGCTGATAGATTGACTGAAAGCTAAAGGATGATTGGACATACTGGGTTGGCTTCTGATAGATTGATTGAAAGCTAAAGGATGATTGCACATACTGGGTTGGCTTCTGATAGATTGACTGAAAGCTAAAGGATGATTAGGTTTACTGGGTTGGCCGCTGATAGATTGACTGAAAGCTAAAGGATGATTGGACACACTGGGTTGGCTTCTGATAGATTGATTGAAAGGTAAAGGATGATTGGACATACTGGGTTGGCTTCTGATAGATTGACTGAAAGCTAAAGGATGATTAGATTTACTGGGTTGGCCGCTGATAGATTGACTGAAAGCTAAAGGATGATTGGATGTACCGGGTTGGCTGCTGATTGATTGCCTGAAAGCTAAAGGACGACTTGACAGAGGGTGGCTGATGCCAGATGAAATGAGGGTTGATGCAGGGATGGACAAAGAAGGTTAGCTGAATGAAGGGGCAGATGCCATTGTATTGGTGGGCATAGAAGGTTGGGTTGTTGTAGATGAAAATACCACTGGTGTTGGAATTGGCACAGTAGGAATTGCTACTTGAAGGAGTATAGCTAGTTAAAGGAGCGTGGCTGTTAGAAGGATCAGTGGAGGAGGGGGTGACAGCATCATTAGATACCAGTGAAATAATTACAGAAGACCAATAGGCCACTTGCCTAGCTGCATGAAGAGTAGGACCAACATTCTCTTGTGGATGAAAATCCCCAAGCTGTTGATTTATGTCAGACATAAGGTATATCAGGTTGCTTGATGGACCTGGTCTTCCTTGGGGTGCTTCGCAATGGCCAGAATCCTTGTTCTAAGCTAATTCATATCATATCCATTAAACACTCTACTGGATACATACTTCATTGTCATCACCATCCTCACTGGATATCTCCTACCGTTGGGATCCTGACTCTGAATTTTCCTGCAAACAAGATTAAAAACCAAAAAAACACTTACACAAAAGAACCAATTTTTTTTTCATATATAGCGTTTTAGACATTTGAGTTTACATTAAAGAAACCTTTTTTTGCGACAACTTGAATGCTTTTATTGCGATTTCAACTTGCATTTGAAAAACACTGGAAAAAACTAAGATATTAACCATTTAATGAGAGTGGTGCCTATGGTTTCAAATCACAACAGCACAGCAGGTGACTTAAGTTAACAAGTTTCAAGTGGTACTTGGTACTTTTTAGTCTATTACATGTACTTAGTAAAAGCAACGAGTGGGAACAAAATATTTATTTTCTTCACTTTTGAAACATTTATTACTATGGCATACTCAAAAGCCACATGTTGCTGTACACTGTAAAGTTTCAATTTCATTTTTCTTTGTTTCTAAATCATTATCTACCTGAGTGGTCACAAAGTTCACCTTCACGCCTTACCTCTTGATCAGATTCTGACTCTTCAGATGAATCCTATTAAATGCAGGAAAATATAAAGATCAAGACTGTGAGAGAAATTGACAAGTAAAAATAAAGTCAAAAAAAGCCTCTGCAATGTTGGTTATTTCAACAGGTTCCCTGGTTACTGAATTTTAACGAACACTCATATGAGGTTGATTCATGTGTAACTCGTGTTTATTGCACTCATAAATACTCATTTATCTAAGAACCATACTTGAAAACCCCTTGTCAAGTTTGGACAGTTGTGCATTTTCAGGTATAACAACATAATGAATTTTAAAACATTTATGGAGATTTATTCAAAGGAAAAAAATGCTTGCCTCCTGGACATCCCAGGCACTCAGCCTTCAAAAAGGTGATATCAGGGCTCAAAATGACAGCTAGGCAATGAACAACATCCAGCCAAGAAGGTGATTAGATTATAACAATTATTGCTTACGTTTGTGTGTTGTGAGTTGTTTGGAAATTTGAGGTACTACTGGTGACAAGCAAGGCACCTTTAGTTAAGAGGATTATTTTGGGGCTATTACTTTAAAGTTATTATTGTATAATCTTTAACCTTTGAATTGTGAAAAAAGAAACGTGCCTGATATGAAGTTTTGTTGGAGCAAGGCCACCAAAAGTCAGAAAATTGAGTCCTGAAATAAGGGCGTTTCACAACAACAGAACATAACATTTAAGGTATTTGTGGACAACGCAATAACCATTTGAACGAGAACGAGAAGTTAATTTGGAGAAAACGCTGTGTTATCTGTTAAGCCTCAATTCAGTAATGATAGTCATCTCACGAATGTGACACATATCCAATATCAGACACTTGCAACGACGTACTCAGCATCTTCAGCATACAATCTACTCCAGTCACAAACTATTACTTTCCTGAATTTCGACTTCAACTGCAGACACCTAACACCTAACAGTCTCCTACCAGGTTAATAAATACTTAAAGGACTATGATCTAGAAGAAAGTTTGCAGCCTGCCCACAAGAGCTTTGATAGCATTAAAACAGCTCTTGTGAAGGCTCAGAATAGGTCATTTTGCTTTTCAACCTCTCCGCAGATTTTAATACTGAGGATCATAAGCAAGAAGTCAAGGTCAAGGGATCCACATCATATAGCCTTTCATAATATATAGATTTAGCCAAGCCTAAAAGCGGAGCTACCGATTTCATTACAATAATAACAACGATAATAATGATGATGATGAAGATCGTTTTATTCACACTGGTATACAATACGATATAACCTCGTTGCAAATACTGATACCCCCTAGTCGGTATCGGGATGTAGTCTAGCCTACGTGTAGCCGCAACCCACTCGCAACAAAGGAAGAAGAGGAGTCAAAGAAAACTACGAAAAAAGTACAACGTAGTTAGATAAGGTTTAAAGAGCAGGAAAGAAAAAGGTCTTAAAAGTTGAAACTAAAACTAAAACTCTATAACTTTAAAACAGCACAAGAAAAGATTAACTTATCCAAGGTGAATTCACACAACAAAGTTATATATGGTATAATAAATACATTAATTTCATATACTGGAAATGCAGAATGAAGAAATAAATTCAGGGAAGATCACCACAGTTATCAATGCAACTTTGGCACTGTACCTAACGTACCTAACCATTCATATAGTCATTCTCCAATTTCCACAGCAGCTGGTCAATTAGCCTGGCAATTCCTCAGAGATTGTGGTGGGAAACAGTTAGATGTCATGTGACCTCGAAGTAACTAATGAGAATGGTGCTGGGAAATATTTAGATTCTTGGAAAACAAA